GATGTCAATGCGAAGGCAACGGCCTCCGGCACACGCCCATCAACGCTGCCAAGTCCCTGTCGTAGCTCGCGTCATTTGGCGGCAGCGTTCCCCAAGACAGTGCTCGAAAAATGCGCGGCTGCGACACTCTGCGAGGCACTCCAAACCCCCGCACGTACGCCGCTCCGGTCGGCACGGAGGCGGCACCCGAAGACGACACAACAGCCGCAGAAAATCCCACCGCTCACCTTCGGCTCCCCTCCCACCAGCGTCCCAGCTGTCCCTCAGCTGCAACCACAACAAGAGGGAAGCAAACCACACGGCAGCACCACACCGCCCAGCACTAGCAACCATTTGCCCCTCCACATACCTCACTTACCGTCGTCCCCAAAACACACACACACAAGAAAGGAAGCATCATTACGCAAAGCCAAGGCAAAATTAAAAACAACAAAACTCTGAATGCAAGCGGGGTCCCTCGCACACACACAAACACCGTCTGAGACAGCGGAACAGGTGCAGTCAACCAAAACACCCAAATAAAGAGAGACGCAGAGAAAAAGACTGCTCAAGGAATCAGCACCATCCCTTAAAGAAAAAAAAAATATGACAAAAAAGGTTCTGCGCGTTCCTCAGCGTATGCCTTAGCGACAGCCCAGAGCAGCAAGCGGCAAACCACAGCAGGCTCCAAGGGCCCTTTCCCTTCCACAGCACACTGACAAAGTGAAAGCACCGGCAGCTCCCACTCCGCCTTCCACGTTGTTTGTTCCGCAACCCCGCAATAGCCTCTCCGCCGAACTGTCGTCGGGCGCCACGCAGCCCTACGCTGCATTTCTCCGCAGTTGCCGCAAAATTTTACTGACGGCAGCCGCCCCCTTCCCCAATAAAGCACGCGCATGTGCACTGCCCTTCCGCAGCACCCGCATGAGTGCCCCGCGCTGCCGACGCAGATGCAGTAATGACCAATCTAATTATTTTGAAACGCTCGTGCCACCACATGAAGGGCTAGCACCTCCGCCTATAGAAGAATCAGCTGCGGTGCGCCCTGCCCTACGCCGCCGCCGACACACACACCTAGCCGCTCTGTGGGGATCGCTGTTGGACGTGTTTGAGAGGGCTCCCCACAACTCACAACTACCGCCACAGGCCCACGAGAGTGCACCGCAAGTGCTCACACAAAAAGTCCCGCCATGGTGCCCGATCCCACCGCATTCGCACCACCGTGTTGGAGTTGGTGGCGGAGCCTTTCACCTCTCAATCTCCCTATCCCTCTCCTTCTATGCTGTCTGCTAAACTGGGTCCTCCTCCCGGTGCTGGGGCTCGTCCACAGCATCCCGGGTGTCCTGGAACCGCAAACCCAAAAGCCTTCCTTACCACCCGCTGAATTCAGAGTTGGGCACAACGTCTTCTGCTCAACCCCGCGACTTGCGCCGCCACCCCCTCCAATTGAAGAGCACAAACCCATGTGGAAAAGCTTTCCCACGCCATTAATGTAGCCATACCCG